AGCATTTCTCTGTTAGGTATCTGCGGATCAGGTTCGTCTCAAATGCAGGTTGCTTCTTCTCTTGTTGTGGCTTTAGTCTTTCCTCTCCCTCAATCCTGACTCTCAAACTAATCTTGTCTGTCCTTTCTGGGTGGCAGAATCAGTCTGGCAGCCTTTGATGTTCTCTAACCTACAAAGCAGCACTCTTTCTGGCTCCTTCCTCTTTGGCAGTCATCCTGCCCCTCCTGCAGCTGATGGAGCTTCTCTTTGCCCTTGGCTCAAGGCCTTGTGTTGAGAGCAGGGTGCCTGTGAATGTACCAGCAGGAGTGCCACTCATCGCGATTAGTGCCCTCTATGTGTCAATAGGAGCAGCGCACCCGCCAGGGAGATGAGTCCTTACTTCAGAAGGCGCTAGAAGCCAGCCGGCGGGAGAGCGAGTCGGGGACAAGGGAGGTGAAGAAGCCTGCGCCCCCCTCATGTTCACGCAAGTGCACGGGCCGTGTTTGAGTTTGTCATACATGGTCCATTACTCTAATCACTACAGTGCTTTCCAGTGACTCTCGTTCTTTGACCTTTTACCAGTCGGCAATGATGGACCTGGTGGATATTTTTGGACCAGTTTCTGCTGTCCCTGTGGACAGCGAGCCCTGGGATTCTCAGGCCGTCAGCCTACCAACCTCTGATCCCTGGGATTCTGTTAGTGCGTGAGCTGCTTCTTTGATGCCACTTGGCTGTTTTAGTGTTCTGGGCCCTTTGGTGTTGCTTAACATGTGGATAAGTGTGGGGTACGAGAGAGAGGGAGACACAGTGTCTTCCCTGAGCCAGAGAGCTGTTACTACTATTTGTGGGCACTGTTTTGTTTTGTGCTGAAATAGCATCAAATACTCACTGCGCTAATGTGTGAATCAGGCATGAGACAGCGATGTCCAGTGGTGAACATTCAGTGAAAATCCATCTTGGCAGCTTGCTCTTTGTGATCTGAGTAGCTGCCGTTGCAGAGCTCCCTGACAGCCCTTCCTCCTATCGTACCTTTAGCGGTTGTGCGCTCCACCACGCCTGTCTTTGGCAGCCCCTGGATGGCACCGCCTCTGTCCAGCAGCCCCTCTCAGGCTTGGGTCCCCAGATATTCTCCTCCGGACCCCTGGGAGGCCCAGCCCACTGCCCCCAGTCCCAATCCCATCAGCCATGCCTGGAGTTCGCCTGCTCACACCGGTAGGACTTTTGTACTGCTACTCAATGCTCAGCTATCATGCGGGAACAGAGCTCGTGTACATGTTTGATACAAGTACAGACACTATGGTCTCTATATATAGACTCAAATCGTGTCTCTTGACCCTGACTCTGCATGCAGCAGTAAAGCAGCCTCATCCCAGCCGACTTTTGCTGCAGGTGCCTCTGGTCTGGACCCCTTCTCAGTTCCCATGGAGGTCCCTAAAGAGCCAGAAGCCCCCCCGCAGTTGTTTCTCCCCCGCCCTGGAAGTCCTGGAGGTAAGCATCCCCCTCCTCCTCCTCTTCTTCCCCTTCTCTTTTTCCTCTTTTCTCCTTCCTGCTTCCTTGGATGCGTTCACTCTTATGCCGTCAGGTGTGGAGAGGGTGTCCGGGGGTCAGATGAATGGGAGGGGCGGTGGCAGCCCAGAGCTCTTTGACCTGTCCCGACTCGGGGACACCCTGGGCAACCCGAGCCCCCGGAGCTGCCACACTCCAGAGGCATTCCTGGGCCCCACGGCAGCCTCACTGGTCAACCTGGACACACTGATCCCCTCCAACCCCACATCGAAGAATAAGAACCCTTTCTTATCGGGTGAGTGCAAATTCCCTGAACAGTAGCAGAGAAGGAGTTTAGGAAGCCACACGGTTTATGGAAACAGCGTGACTGACATTGCCTGACGAATAACAGCGACCGGCAGGGGCGTGAGCAGTAGAGTAGAGTACAGTAGAGTCGAGTAGAGTAGAATAGAGTCGAGTAGAGTAGAATAGAGTCGAGTAGAGTAGAATAGAGTAGAGTAGAATAGAATAGAGTAGAGTAGAATAGAATATAATAGAGTAGAATAGAATAGAGTATAATACAATAAAATAGAATAGAGTAGAATACAGTAGAATAGAATAGAATAGAATAGAATAGAATAGAATAGAATAGAATACCTGTTATTGTCATCGCACGAATGTACAATGAAATTAGGTGTGTCCTCGAAACAGATTCAACACAAAAAATTAAGCTACATTCATAAAAGTAAAATCACGAGCAATACAGGCTAATAAACTTTAAGTGTTTCTGTGTGCGAACATATATACAAGGTGGGAGTATAGAAATAGTATTAGAGTGATTCTATTTACAATAATTGCAATGAGTCCCCGGATATTGCACTTTTGTGCCATTGATGCCCTGGGTGACAGTGAAAGAAATGAGACGCAATGTTATTTAACAAAGTTCAGTTCTTTGATGATGCTCGGGTACAAGCTTTTCAGTGGTCTGCAAGTGCACATCTTAATAGACCTGTAATGCCTTCCAGAGGGCAGCAGAGTGCAGAGGTGGGGGCCTGGGTGAGATGGGTCCCTGGTGATTCTTGTGCCCTTCCAGAAGGCAGCAGAGGTGGGGGCCTGGGTGAGATGGGTCCCTGGTGATTCTCCTGGCCAGTCAGACACCAGGTTCTGTATATGTCCTCTAGTGAAGGCAGCTGGGTGTCGGTCATTTTTTGTGCTGATTTGAAGACTTCCTGGAGGGTCTTTTGAAGCACGGAGCAGCTAGCATACCATAGCAGGATACCACAGGTGAGTGTGCTTTCCACAGAGCAGCGATAGGAACCCAGCAGCTGCTTGTACAGGTTAGCCTTCCTCAGTATCCTTAAGAGCTAGAACCACCTCTGTGCCTTCTTCACTAGAGTGGTTTTGTTGAGAGACCATGTGAGGTCTGCTGCTGTGGGATGACCGTGTCTTTGAGATGGGGGGCGTGAGCATTACTGCTGTTGGATGACAGTGTCTTTGAGAGGGGGGGCGTGAGCGTCACTGCTGTTGGACGACTGTATCTTTGAGGTGAGGGGAATAAGTGTTACTGCTGTTGGATGACCATGTCTTTGAGGTGAGGCACGTGAGCGTCACTGCTGTTGGACGACCGTGCCTTTTATGGTAATCAAACAAATTAGGCAGGTGCCCTGTATGTCCCATGTCACATTTTGTTCATTAATTCAGCAACAAATGTTCAGCGTTTTTGATTCCTACATGTCTTTCAATATTATTTCCGTTCCACAATTGTTCCACACCCGGATCATATGCACCCCCTTGGTAACTTTTCTATGCCCTCCTGGGGGGAATCTTTGATGTTAAACTCCTCTGCCAGTTGTCATGGCTCGCACCCCCTTGCTCTGTTAGCCCCAGGTCATACGCCGCTTCTGTTTCCACCCCCAGGACTGAGCGCCCCCTCGCCCACCAACCCCTTCCACAGTGACCAGCCTCGGCTCACCCTTAACCAGATGCGCCCAAGCTCCACGTCGCCACTGCCTGGCCCCGCCTTGCCCTACAGCGCCTCCCTGCCCCTGCCTTTGAGCCGCCAGTCCCCAGCACTGACCTCCTCCTTCACCCAGCCGCCCACCTTGGCGGCCGTGGGGCCTCCGGGCCTCCTGGAAGTGCCTGGGAACCTGCCCCAGCCCCTGCTGCCCCTGTCCCCTGCAGCCGCACCGGGAGACCACCTCAGCGGGAACCCCTTCCTGTGAGTCGGACCTGAGGCTTCTGTGGTGCTCCTCCATTGCCGGACTCACTGAGTTTCTTTTCACTGGAGTCTCTCTTCGGCTTGGCCCCTGCTCCCCCCAGGTCGCTCTGGGATTAGGGTTAGGGTTAGGTTTAGGGTTAGGGTTATGTGGTTACCTGAGTGCGTGTGCCTGTGGGTTTGCTGCTTGACAGCTGCTAAGCCTTCATTTCTAAACGCCTTAGTCAAATAATCCTGTAAGATAAATGCTCTCCAGTGTTTTATGAGGATAACCAAAAGAACAGGATCATTGTTTTTCATTAGTTATTCCACTAATATTCTATTTCATAGAAATTCAAAAATTTGGCATGTGCAGAAATAAGTGATCATGGAGATTTGTAAGCAGATGTTTCCAGTAGATTCGACATTTCTGCTTACTTAAAGATAAGATACTTTCTCATACATGGAATGCTTAGAAGAGTTTCTCAAACGCTGACCTACTATCCAGCTCGTCATTCTGGAGACATGTAGGTCCCTGCAGATCTTTGTTTCTGGGCTTCTGCTTGGCATCCAGTCTAGATTTTTCAGTCCCTCTCTGGATGGTTTCGAAGGACATCCACACTGTCACACACTGCTCTACAGTGTTGTCCAGTGTGGAATGTGACTTTTACACTGGATTGATGAACCTTCTGGAATGACTGTGTAAGCAGCAGACATGACATACCTCTGCGGGCTGGCATTATGAGTTACACTAATGAGTGCGGCTAATCTGACCACATTTCAGATAAGCACACCCAAACTCGTGCAGATAATTGGCCCTTGATTACCCTGGTACGCAATTATTTATCCATTTTTACATTTAACATATAAATGTGCTAATTAATGCGTCTCATTTATTTCTGCACTTGCATTGACTCTTATGTAAATACGGTAAAAATGTGACATTTCCAAAGCTACATCAGAGGCTCATAAACTGTTAATTAGGACAGCATGGCTCGTGTGTGTGCATGCGTGTGTACGTATGCGTGTGTGCGCATGCGTGTGTATGCGGGGGCGAGCGCAGTTGGCAGGGTGCAGTGCTTTGCACACCCTGAGGTGGGTAACTTGGAGCTGAGCAGCTGAGCTGCACACCGACTAACATGATCCATCAGACCCCAGGCAAGTATGCAGAACTAGTCCAAACCTGAATCACAAACACCCACAATGCACTGGGCAGTAGCTACCCACAAGTACCTTGCCCAGCTGTTACAGTACGTCTCACCAGTTAACCCAGAAACCCAGTCAGTGGACTGCTTTACGGGGACTTACACACTACAGCGCCATCCTACTTATAAACAGCTGACAGCTTGGGGAGGAGCTGGGGACAGAGCGAGAGAGAGAGCGAGAGAGAGAGCGAGAGAGAGGGAGAGAGCGAGAGACTTTGCACCAGCCTTTATTAAGTCAGTCAACAACAGAAAAAAACCCCTACTGCAACTTCAAATCGCAAGATGGGTCGTTATCACAAAATCAGACAAATGGAAAACAAAGTAAACAATCAACCACAAAAAAACAGGAGAAAATAACCAGGGCAGCAAACAAAAAAAGGAAAAAAAGAAAAACAATACAATGGGCCCAAAAAAAAAACATACGACGGGCCAAGGAAATAATCAACACCTTCAAGATAATATTAAAACTTCAAGATTAAGTCCCCATCATGGGTCAAGTCACATAGAACCCCACCATAACCCCACACCTCCGAAAAAGTCACAAGGTTGTGAGTCACCCCGAACAAAGCATGTTCAATTCTCATGCGGGCTGCCACCAAGCCCTTCATCATGAGGGTAGGATTCGTCGATCCTGCCCCCTTCATTCTGTTCCTCCGGGTCAGCCAGAGACTCATCTTAGCCTGACCCAGCACGAAGTTCAGCAGACACGCCTTAGCCTTCTGGGAACTACAGTATTTTGGTCCATAAATGAAGAGCTGAACAGAAAAAACCTCCCCAAAACCGACACACCACTCCTCCAGGACCTCAAACAAATCATAAAGCCGATTGCACCTCAGAAACAGATGCTCCATCGTTTCCTCCGCAGGACAAAAAGGGCAATCCCTCCCAACTGTAGAGTCAATGTGCGATACGTGTCTGTTCGTAGCCACTGCCCCATGCACAATCCGCCACTGAAAATCCGCTGTGCGCTTCTCAATGGGGGACTTGTACAGGGACCTCCAACGTCCTTGTGGGGAAGATCCAGGCCCCAACAAACCTGAGCACCTGGAAACCGTGAGTTCACTCAGCGCCTGAAAATGCAGCACTTTAACACAGGCTTGATACAGAGCTTTCTTGGACAGATGGACACGAAAGAAAGCAGCAACCCCACCTCCTCCCGATGACCCTCTACAGCAGGAGAGACCCTGATCAGGGGAGAAAAAGAAAGGGGACCACTGCTCCCTCCTGACTTAAGCACCATCCTTGCTGCCTCTGGTAGCGCACAGACAATGTCCTCCAGAGCTTTCCGAAGAAGTCGGCCAGACTGAACCCCAGTCACAGCCCGCAGGTTATCCAATGTCCTCCAGGAGCCACCGACCCTGAGGCACCCCAGCTTCGTCAGAGAAAGAGAAAGGGAGAGAGAGAGAGAGAGAGAGAGCACCCCCAAATGTTAGTTCTGCTCTATCTCAGTCGGCCAACTTAGTGTTTCTTTGCTTTTTGTTTTTTGCAGAAAGAGGATTTAAAACTGTCAGTGTTTGGATTCAGCATTACAAGACCCACATATTGAAAGAATGTATTGAACTGAAGTGGTGTTACCAGGAAATAACCAGAAATTGTCAATTAAATATGAATATATAAACACATAAATTCCATTTGCATTTTATTGCAGTGCTTCTTAACCAAGCCAGTCACTGATTGCTCAGCCATTGCAATTCGCTGTGTGCGGTTAATGTTTCAAAAATATCACGACTAGTGTATAATTTTTTAGTTGTTTTTTGAACATTTTGCACAAACATGAACCGTATGTAAAGTATCACTAGTGCAAAATGCCTTCTAAATGCCCATTTGTGCCCCCCTCAGACTAACAGTGGTACTGCAGTAGGACAGGTGGGGTGACGGTGCTGAGTGAGATGAGCAGCTGCCTGGTTCTGCCGTCGCTCCTTGTGTGTTTGTGTGCTGATTTTATTTCCCATGCAGGTAGTGTTGTTGTGTGGAGTAGAGCAAGAAATGCCCGCTTCCATTCTGTCATCACACCATCATGTTGAATCTCTGCCCTGGTATTGGGTAAGAGACTCTCCAGAACATTACAGGAAATGATGGGGGCAGCATGATGTCAGTACTTCACAGAAAGCAGGCTTCCCAGAACTCCCATTGCCTGGAAAGGTAGGGGCTGATGTAATGGACTCCACGCCCACACCTTCCCAACGGCAAACGCCATCAGTTACGCATATGACTGTATGTGTGTCTCTATGTGCTGTTCGATGTTTTTTGTTTTATTATGAAAATAGAGTTTCAGTTATGGTGTTACACCTGCTATCCTGGCCTTACTGCGCACATGTGGAGTCTGCTTGTTCTTCCTGTTGTGTGTGGGTTTCTCCTGCATGCTCCGCTCTCCTCCCTCCATCCCAAAAAGTGATTCGGTGGATCCCTCAAGTGGCTTCATGTGTCTGTCTTGTGATGGAGTGGATCCCTCCTTTGGCTCTCTGCAGCTACATGCTGAAGATTGGCTTGGAAAATTGATAGGTGGATGAATATAACCTTTACACAACCAGTAATAAAATACCATGGAAATCTTTTGTAAGTAGCCTTGACCAGTAGAGGGCGATATTGTATTTGCAACCAGAAAACTTCATGCTAAGTACATACTGACAATGGTGGGTGATAGTTATGTCATTAAAAAATTAAGACCCATCAGCATATATGGCTCGGGTTATGGCAGTAAATTCTTATTTGAATACAATATCAGGTGAGTGATGTGAACATACTGAGAGCTGTGGATTTAAACAGCGCGTCTTGGGAAGAACTCAGCTGGGACCCTGTTCAGAGCCCAAAAGCAAGTCCAGCTCCACGAATGTCCTGAGTGTGCGGCAGCCCTCTCCTCCACTGGGCAGGATCTCTCTCTCTCAGACCAGCTCAGTACTCCTGACTGACAGAGTTGAGTAATTCAGGTCCAGAGAGTAAAAGTCCAGACCAAGGTTTTGTTTCAACCAACCAGTTGAGCATAAAGAGTCACAGTTACAGAGTACTCAACTGGTTGGTTGCAACAAAATCCCGGTCTGGACCTGAATGATCCAACTCTGCTGACTGCTACTGTTCTGCCCTGAGGAACCACTCCATTGATGAGCTGAGTGTGTGGCAGACCTCACCTCTCTCATATATAAAGCAGCCCTGACCTGAAGCATATGCATGACTGGGTGAATGGATGGACAGACATGATGTAGTGGTGGAGTTCGGAACAGCAGGTATGTCACACTCTAAGCAGCCACAGTCCGGGGAATCGGGGCCTGTAAATCACACCAGAAAGTGTTTCAGCACTACATTTGACTGGCATCCCACCCAGGGTGCAAAATATAAGGCAGGGGTCTTCCACTCTGGTCCTGGAGAGCTACTATCCAGTAGGTTTTCTGTCCTACCTGGCTTCTGATGAACCACACCTGCTCCTGGTATTTACCCAGAACTGGTGTGACTCATCAGAAGCCGGGTAGGATAGAAAACCTACTGGACGGTAGCTCTCCAGGACCGGAGTTGGAGACCCCTGATATAAGGTATATAAAGTGTATATAGTATAGTATATAAAATGTCTACTTCCTGGATATATTTTAAAATAATGGAGAAAAGACTTTAATCTTGAATTCAAACAAGAACTTCAAAGGTAAAAATCCATATTAGGTTCGATGTTTATTTGCAAAATGTGTAATTTATAAATGGTCTATGACAATTAGCTCTTTGATATATCAGTCAAAGAAATGAGTCTGAATCAGGCACAAATCTGCAAAACCGTTGAATGTATCAAAGGAAACTATGAAAAATGGCAACAGTACACACCAAACACTGCAAACTGCATCAGCACAGAGGCCCTGTGATCAAAGCTCACAGCCATCACAAAAGTATAACCTCAAACTTTACCAGAGTACTGATTGAATGGGTCTGTGACCCAGTGAAAGCTGCATGTTGTGAGCCTCGAAGAGCCAGACGTTCTGACAAGGCTGCTGCTTGGAAACTCTTTGAATCCAAGGCCTATGCATAAAGACACATAACTTTCTTTCTTCTGGTTGGAGCCAGAGGGTGTCTAAGCCGCAGCGTGTGGGATCTGTAATGGTTTGGGCTGCCATCTGTGGTTTCATGAACACCAGGATGAAGTAAAACAGACTGTAGGTGCTCTGAAGGCAATGGGTGGCCCTATGGAAAATTTATATTCAATATTATTATTATGTACAAATAGTTACATTATTCTATTCATGCGAGTGGCTCAGTGGGCTAAGCCTGTGTACCTGTAATCACAAGGTCACTGGTTCAAACCCACCCTCAGCATGTCTGTGGGTCCTTGAGCAAGGCCCTTAACCCCCAGCTCCCTGGGCGCCCCAACAGGTGGCTGCCCTTCACGGACAACTTATACAAATAGTAAGTTGAGGGAGGCATAAAAACAATTTCCCCACAGGGATCAATAAAAGTATCAATCATATCACAGATTCTGCTGCTATATTCCTGCCGCTATATTATGTACAATCCATTCATGCATTTACTGTGTGTGTGCCCTCTGAACGTGTCATATGCACTGTGTTAATCTGCACTCTACCCTTCTAATTGTGTACATACAGCCCATGTCTCATGTTGCACAGTGGTCCAGGGGAATGACATCTCGTACCAGTGTATGCTTGTGTACAGCTGACACGACAATAAAGTCCCGCTTGACATAGGGTGCAAGGCGAGAGCTGCCATCCCATCTGACACACAGATACACAAACACTGCATACCTTAACCATGGATGTACCCAACCCAAGCCTGGTTTGCTTTACAAATTAGGAAAACTACAGGTATGCAAATATGAAATTTTTTAAACCCCGCATTTTCCCCGATTTTAGGCGTCCCGCGCTTCTATCTCCGCTCTGTCACATCTCATGACGCACAGAGTGGAGATAGAAGTGCAGGACACCAGAGAATGCAGGGTTTAATAGATGTAAAAATAAATGAACAGACAGCAAACGCAGGTTGATATTACAATCACCGGACTGGGGAAACAAACGGAAACAAACGGAAACGCGGACTAAATACATTGGACTAATGACAACAATCAGAAACAGCTGGTAAACAAGGGGAATCCACATGGGGTCAACGAGGGGGCGTGGCACACGGAAGGAGCAGATGATCGGGGCATGACAACAGGTGACAGCAAAGCTTGGAGTCAAAGTGCAGGGTCAGTCATCCAACACCCCTGGAGCATTTTGGGGGTTAAGGATCTTGCTCAAGGACTCAACAGTGATGTGACCATCTTGCCAAGGACAGGATTCACCTGGAAAACTTTTGGCCTATCTGTCAGCTAATTCATGCTGATAATGATGACGTGGTGTAACCTAGACCTCATCCTGTTAAATGTTTGCTGTAATGCACAGTCTGCAAAAGCCTCTTATGCACCACTAACACAAACCATTCACCCTTGAATGACTGGAAGAAGGGCTGCACAAGAAACATGTACAAGAAACTGTATCTCATTCTTAGGTACCATATCTCATTTTCTTCACTGGATGGGTACCCTTCAGAGATATTTTTCTCTCCATCAGAAGAGCCATTCATCACATTTCCTCACTAGGAAGGGCATCCTAGAGGGCTCTTCATCTTCATGATTTCAACTAGAAAGGCACCCAGAGGACACCTCAAGTTTATCAAATTGTTCAGGCACTACGTTAAGGTTACCATATGTCAGAGTTTCCCTGGATACGTCGTCTTTTTGGGCCCCTATCCAGGCGCCCAGGCTGTTTTTCAGAAACCGGTGGATTGTCCGGGTTTAGCATTGCAACTCATATGAGCCAGTGTTTTACTAGTTATAATAGAGTACCAAGTCAAGGAAAAGACACCAATGTTCAATATACAACATCCACACAGTATCATCACACATTAGTTGCAAGGCTTGTGCAGACTTTTACTTTAATAATTAAATGATGTGCACATCCCTACATGTCACGCTGCTCTCGAGTGACGTCAGCTTCCGGAAGCCATTGGCACTTTGACAATTTATTTTTGTTTTTATGTGAACAGTGAATCACATAGTTTGCTTGAAGTTTAATAGACTTTAACTTAGTGTTTTGAAATTTTTGTTAGAAAAGACTTGTATACACGTGTAGGCCTATTCTGTCATGTGTAAATTGTAAAATCAGAGCTAACTGTTAAGTTACGATAAGTGAGTGTTGCATCATTCATATGTTAGTGTTCATGTAATAGTGTTAGTATTCAAAAAGTTTTGAGAATGACACAAGTAGTGGTTTTCACAGTTTGCTGCTTCAGTGTTTGCAGATCTTTTTGTCAGATGTTTCTATGATATACTGAATTATAATTACAAGCATTTCAAGTGTCAAAGGCTTTTATTGACAATTACATGAAGTTTATGCAAAGAGTCAATATTTGCAGCGTTGTCCCTTCTTTTCCAAGACCTCTGCAATTCACCCTGACATGGTGTCAATCAACTTCTGGGCCATATTCTGACTGATGGCAGCCCATTCTTGCATAATAAATCCTTGGAGTTTGTTAGAATCTGTGGGTTTTTGTTTTTCCACCTGCCTCTTAAGGATTGACTACAAGTTCTCAATGGGATTAAGGTCTGGGGAGTTTCTTGGCCAAGGAACCAAAATGTCAAAGCTTTACTGTTAGCATGACACAGGACTGATGGTAACGCTCACCTTTTCTTTTCCAGATAATCTTTTTTTCTGGATGCCTCAAACAATCAGAAAGGGGATTTATCTGAGAAAATGACTTTACCCCAGTCCTCAGCAGTCCAATCCCTGTACCTTCTGCAGAATATCAGTCTGTCCCTGATGTTTTTCTTGGAGAGATTTTCTTGGACTGCACGCGTTTCCTTGCAGGTAACCATGGTTATCAGAGGAAGAACAATGATTTCAAGCACCACCCTCCTAATAAAGCATCCAGTCTGCTATTCTAATTCAATCAGCATGACAGAGTGATCTCCAGCCTTGTCGTCGTCAACACTCTCACCTGTGTTAACAAGAGAATCACTGACATGATGTCAGCAGGTTCTTTTGTGGCAGGGCTGAAATGCAGTGGAAATGGGTTTTTTGGGATTAAGTTCATTTTCATGACAAAGAGCGACTTTGCAATTAATTGCAATTCATCTGATCACTCTTCACAACATTCTGGAGTATATGCAGATTTCCATCATTGAAAGTGAGGCAGGAGTCTTTAAATTAATATTTGTGTCATTCTCAAAAGTTTTGGCCACGGCTGTACACTGCACCATATTTTCATCACTAAAGGGGCACCTATTTGGGCACTTCATCATGTTGTCCAGTTTCTTAGGA